GTCCAGGGTGGGGACCAGGTAAGGAGGAGGCGGGTGGGCAACCCGGTTACCTGTTTAAAAGAAAACACCCAGGGCACCTGGGTAGATCGGTTAAGCATCCGATTCTTGACTTCAGCTCAGGTCATGATCTCAAGGTTCCTGGGATGGAGCCCGCGTCAGGCTTGGGATTCTGTCTCTCTGTTTCTCTCTCTCAAAATAAATAAATAAATGTTTTAAAAAATTAAAAAAAGAGAGAGAGAGAGAAACTCAGTAAGTGAGTGGGTTTCTACATTCTGTTAAGAAGGAAAATCGGGAGTGAGAAAGAGTTGATGCCCCATCCTGGGTGGGGTGGAGGAGGGACCCAGCCGTGATTGTGATGTTTCTTAAGCGTAGAACCTTCAGATTGAAGCTGGTGAGTGTTGGGAGCCTGATGACTTAGTATTTCTTCACCTGTGATGTTCTGGTCTCTTCAGGTCATTGGAGAGGGCGACAGCCATTGCACCCTGTACACGTGTATTAAATCATCACATTGTACACCTCGCAAAGAACAAAAACAAAAGTGAAAAATATCACATTTTGCATAGTAAAAAAAAAAAAAAACGGCACAGGGAAATTTAGATCCAAATCCACCAGTCTCATTTTGCGGAAACGTAAACATCAAAAGATGTCACATAAAAAATCTGAATTTCTGGCTCGCGGAGCCACACTGAGCCATCCTGCATCCCCAATTCCTGGCAGTCGCTGGAGCCCAGAAGCAGCCGGCTCTTTAGAAGGGGGTTTGTGCTGTCTTTAGCCTGCGAAGTCCTGACCACACCCTCTTGCTCGCTGGCCCTGGGGCTGATGGCAGGTGGCGTTTGTCACTGAGGGACACTCAGCTGTTTTCATTGCGGTAGGGTTGTTTCCCCCGTTCCCTTCACCGCTTGACCGGTGTCAGCGGCTGTGTTGGCCTGTCTACCCCTTAAAGACATCAGAACATGCGTGGGCGCCTGGGTGGCTTAGTCGGGTAAGCGTCCGACTCTAGACTCTAGATTTCAATTCAGGTCGTGATCTTGATGGGGTTCTTGAGCGAACGGCTAAGAAAGAATTCTTGAGATGTCTTTGGTGCGAAAAGGTGAGGGGACAGGACCGTGGACAGACAGACAGCTGCACCGGGGTTGTGAGGCGTGACTGATTATATACTTTGAGGTTGGGGTGAGGGATGGCGTAAGTCTCTAAGGAATTTGAAAGCAAGGCTTTCAGGACCTTGGAGTAGCTGCTGTTAAGATAAGGTTACTTTTAGTCTTTAGTAAAACAAAAACATTAAGGAAGTGAGGCAGCCATGAGTTCCTTGGCCTGACTCAAGGAACCTGCATGTTTCAGCTCTATCTGTGGGCTGTGAGTTGTAAGGAGATTTAATCTAAGCTACATTTCTCTTGCCTTTGTTTTTCTCCTCAATCTCAAGGTTCGAGGGCTCGAACCCCTCGTCGGGCTCTATGATGGGGGCGTGGAGCCTGCTTGGGATTCTCTCTCCCTCTCTCTGCCCCTCCCCAGCTTTATCTGTCTCTCTCTCAAATGAATAAACTTAAAAAAAAAATAAACGCATAAACACATCAGAACGTGCAGATCATGAGGAAGCTGTCGAGGGCTCCTATCTGCCTTCATAACTTTGAATTTCTGGTGAGAGTTGTCATTAATAGTAATTTGAGATATAATTCAAATGCCAAAATATGTTTGAAAACCATTGTCCGTACCGTGTAAATTTCTATACATGCCACAACACACTAGAGCTTACATATTTTAACTGTTTCCATTTTTTTTTTTTTTAGTTTATTTTTATTTATTTTGAGAGACAGAGAGAGAGACTGAGCTTGAGCAGGGGAGGGGCAGAGAGAGAGTATCCCAAGCAGGCTCCGTACTGTCAGCACAGAGACCAACTTGGGACTCGATCCCCAGACCTGTGAGATCATGACTTGAGCCAAAACCAAGAGTCAGTGGCTCAACTGACCGAGCCACCCAGGCGCCTGTATCTT